TTAAAGCATCTGACTTTGGGGAAAAACTTCAAGTTAATTGACAGATGAATTTAAATAGAAATGAGAGACTAGACTGTAGGTTCAAGGTACAACTATGTGAAGCGCTGTTAGATACTACTGCTTGCATCTTAGTGACGCTACTGACTGGGATGTAGATTTCAAGAGTAGATGGCATAAGAGCATTCTTCTACATTGTCTGCAGAATGCAGAAGACCACTAAAAACTGACACCAAATCATACAGCTATTTGGACATGCCTTAAAGCCAAAACAACTCTTCCCAAATACAGCAAAATAATCAAATATAGCTGTTATACAAGCAGATCTTGAAGCAGTATGAATTGCCCAAACGGAGATTTTCTTCCTTGCTTAATTCTGCTCTACAAACAGTTTAAAACTTAGTAATAAAATGATAAATGAAGTGTTTTTCATTACTGCAAGAGACTGGTTTTGATAATGTGGTTCCTAAAAAATCCATGAAGCTTTCTGAATTAGTACTGTCCCAAGTTATTCCTCTTCCTTCCAAAGAAAATATGAATCTTCATTCTGATATAGATTTAGTCCAGTCTACACTTGAAATCTTTGCCAATACAGTAAAATTAGGTAAGACTGAGATATTTTAATGACATTTTTATGACATTTCCCACTAGTTAAAGTTCTTGTACAGATGCAGTTGCATAAAACTTGGGAACCACACAAAGTGGACTGTCAAAAGCACTTTTTAGCTGCTACAAACTGCATCAACCTTAAGAGGGGATCCCATATATCCAGAAAAAGTCTTTGTTCAAGTGTAGTCACAGTTAAAAACCTGTAGGTCTCACAAAGAAACATCAGTGAGTGATAACCTGTCACATGGAAAAGGGGAGTATATATTAAAGTGGAGACTACATTCAGACTGTTAAAGATCCCAAAGTAAAGCTCCACATGAGAACAATTTGTAATAAATTCTTATCAGCTGGTAGCTTGCAGCAGCTCCTTTCTAGTTCCTACTCTCTCACTATGGAAATATGCAACAAAGATATTTCAACTCATATCTTCCAACTCAGTAGTCGTATATGTAACAAAGTTAAATGCAGAAGACTGCCCCTGACTCCACAGATTCCACAGTGAGAGAGATCCATAGGCTCTTAAGAGAAGAGCACAAACCCCACATGGCATCTGAGTGGATGTTAAGGTTGAAGGATGACACGTAAGACCCACAAGCCATGCGATCTCTGGGTAAAACAAGTTCAACAGTAACAGTTCTGGGAAGAATATGCAAGATATAAGGGGATCTCTTGTTTAGAGGTCTGATCTTCCTGTTACAAGCAAACTCAGTAGCAGAGTCTGTGTAAACACCTGTTTCTGATTAAGAGGCTTCAGGATGAGTGATGTTTTATGTGGTTTCAGTAGGGAGAAAAAGTACCTTGTGAGCACCAAACAAGGTTTGAGGTAAAGGGACCTCTTTGTGATGTGGCTGTGAGTTGAAAACCTTTTGCTTTGGTAGCTTGTGGTTAGAAATAGTTTGAAGAATAAATGGGTAGAGGTAGGGGAAAAACTGCCTTCAGAAGTATCTGAGGCACACAGTGAGGTGATGTTTAGGGGGAGAATAACTCAGATTAAAATCACAGAATCACAGAATGGTTGAGGTTGGAAGGGACCTCTGGAGATCATGTAGTCCAACCTCTCTACTCAAGCAGGATCGCCTAGAACATATTACCCAGGATTGTGTCCAGACAGCTTTTGAATATCTCCAGGGAAGGAGACTCCACAACCTCTCTAAGCAGCCTGTTCCAGCACTCAGTTACCCTCACAGTAAAGAAATTTTTCCTCATATTCAGATGGAACTTCCTGTGTTTCAGTTTGTGGCTGTTGCCTCTCGTCCTATGAAAGTTAAATGTTTTCAGAAATTTAATCTTTCAGCTGAGCAGGTTTTTCTCCAGTCCCCCAAATTCCCATCATGGAAAAGGATCCCTAGCCTACTTTAAAAGCCTTTTTAAAGGTCAGATTACACTCTGTGAGGAGCACCAACATCATACAGAGTATAGCTTAGAAATTCATGTATCTTGGGTCGAATTACTTTTTCCTCCTGTTTATTCCAAACAATATTGTTAAACTCATCTTCTTCTGCCACCTTCCCTTCCGAGAATTTCTGCTGGCTCCCATTCTGCTTTGGCATCAAGTTCAGACTACTGGTCCTCATCCTCAAGGCTCTACATAGTTCTCATCCCTGCATCTCATTTATTTCTTCCTCTACTTGCTCTGCCAGCATTCATCACCAGTAAATACCTTTATGCTTTTTGCCAGACCTTCTTATTGCCTGAATCAGCATCACTGATACTATTTTCCAGGCAACTTTATTCCGCCTGTTGTAATTAATTAAATCAATATCTGCCTCTCTAATCTGCCCCCGCACTGAAGACATACCAAAATGTTTTAGAATAAAGGTAAGCATTTAGAATTACAACAAACAAATCTGGAAGCATCTCACTACAGTAAGTGATGAATGCATTTGCATAAACACTCTCCTTCATTAACATGTTTGAGTTTTTTCCATTTTAAAAAAAATATTATTTTTAAAGTAAAACCTTACAGCATCTCAGGATAGGAACTGGATTGGTTTGTGAACTGCTAGGTATTGGGTAAATAACAGAGATTATTAACGGAGACCCTGGAATTTCAGACATAAGTTATAAAGAGAGGGGAAAAAAAAAAGTGATAAAAATGACTTGAGATAGGCTAAAAAAGACATATATAAAAAGTCTGGTAATTATTTATATGCACTCAGATATTTTTGATGGGCATTTTGATAGACAACAGTGAAACTATTCTTTTAGATTCTGTAGTTCAAGAATGTATTAAAGCTGTATCTGATAAGCACCTCTCTACTAATTTGGTAATTTCATATGTTGTTGTTCTATGTGTAAGTCATCAAATAAAGCACTGCAAGGACCTGGGCCAAAAGTAGGCATTCTTTTAAGGGTGAGAAAATTCTATGATGACAAACAGGGGATAAAAACCCAGTTAAATCTAGGTTGAATTTTAGCAAGATTGTTACTAGTAATGTTCCTATACAGATACAGTACTGTAAACAAGCATTTTATTTAACTATTAGCATTTCCATTTATGGAGATACTCTCCTTCCTAGGAAACTTATTCAACTTCTGGACTTCCTGCTGTTCCTCAAGCTTTATGATGTCTTATTTTCTTCTAATTCATTACATAGAGAATCAATTTGATTATTTATGTTGATAACCTTGGTATGTTTATGATTACTCCTGGTCATTAATGTTGGTCCCTAAGTACAGTAAAGCTGGTGCAAAGTATGTATCCTTATTAGGTAATTTCCTGTGCTAAGAGACAGCATTGAAATATCCTCCAGTGTATTAAATATAGTTATGTTACACTTTAATAAAAGACCCTCTCTGGAACACACTACATTTTTATGCCTTCCAGTAGCTGTTTAAGGTAGATTTCAGTGTATTAAGAGTCAGATGTCTTCTCTGTTCAGAATAGCATTTTTAATATACGTACAATTGCCACAATGACTTTTATCATCTATTATCCAATTATCCATTTTAAGATTTATTTATGTTACTGTTCATTCCTTTCTGCTCTGTTTTTATTGATTTTTATCATCAATACTTTATTTTGCTTCTCTCCTGTTCCGCCAGGTAAACCTGGTATCTGCTAGGCTGGCATCGAAAGAGAGACTTGAGAATTACCTCAGAGACAAAACTGGACTGTTTAGCAGTTTATTCATTTCTAGGTTAACGTGAAGATTTTTGGTATCAGTAAAATAGGACTGAAATGCATATGGATCAACTAATGCTGATGAAATTCAGTCTGGGGCTTCAAGAGTTAATCTCCCATCATGTTCTCAATCTTATCCCATTGCTAATATGGTTTGCTTGTAGGGTTCCTTAGGGTGGGGAATGAGAGGAACTTGTGAGTGGCCTCTGGTTTTACCAGTGTATGAGGGAGGAAGTTTGCAGTGGCTGAAATTCCCCCTCAGACATAGACCCAGGTGAGTGGTGAGCAGGCTACTTTCAAAAGCAGAACCTGTGGCACATGGGCATAGATTGAAGGGGAACAACCCAGACAAAGAAACTTCACTTTTCCAAAATATTAGTAACTAACTGCAAAGCAAGAAAGCATTTTGCAGAGTGAGAGAGTTCTTCCCTTGTTGCAAGGGCCCAGCCCCTCAATCCTGCACTGTGGCCCACTCACTCATGCCTCTGCCAGAACCATTCGTAAGAAAGGCACATGTTCAGTGCAGCCAAATGCAAGCAAAACAGGAGGATAAAGAGATGGGAAAACACCACATAAGAAGAAGAGCAGAAGAAAGAGAAATTTCAGTATCTGACTTTTCAGATACACTTCTACAGCTCTGTTCTCTACTCACTGTTAAAGGCACTCTTCTGGGATAAGTAGAGGCCATGACATAGGACTTGTTGCCCACTTGCTTTCTCCTTGCAGGACCTAGAAAAGAAATCATAAAAAGCAAATAAGAGGACTCAGTGACTTTCACTGAACTATTTCACTTTATAAACAAGTTTGTAAAGAAAGTCGTACTGGCATAGCTTTAATTTTCTGTAGAAACCAAAGACTATGATAGTTGAGACTGTATACTCTTTTTTCCCCTTCTGCTAATTATTTCCCCTTCTGCCACTTCATTCCAGCATAAGACTATCATTAAAGCAAGTCTGTGCCACTGCATTATTCTCACAGCAGTTGTCAGGACTGTAGCTCTATGCTACATCACTAAACCCGAGAGCAGCGACATCATTATGGTTCATCTCCAGTGGGAAGCACATAGTCTTCCACAGTCAGTAAGAACACTGTACCCGTATGCTTGCTTATTGGTAGTAGGCCTGGGCTCTGGGTTGCTGATTATAAGTAAGCACCTGCCCATGGCAGATCTGGCTAAGGGCAGACTTCCTGTTACAGTGCCGCAGCTCCTTGAAATGAGATTTATGCAAACCGGCTAAAAGCTGTGATGTCACAGCGCACTGATAGACCCAAGGGCTATCTCCCTTCTACAGACATTTGATAAAATCAGGAACTTCAGATACAACTCGGGAAGAAGTTCACCTCAGAGCCTATTAGGGCAAACTATGAAAACTTGTTAGGGTCTTTCTCCAATCCTGAGATCCATTACTGCAAGGGGACTTCAGAGAGTCCAAGGATCTCACTTTCGTTGTGTTTTTTTGTTTGTTTCATGTGATTTTTTAAGTCAGTTATTCTGGATGTTTGAAAACTGAATTAAGAAAAATTCACTCAGAAGTTGGCTGAATGTTGCAAGCTTGCAAAATGGAAGGATTTCCCCTCATTCCCCCTGTGAGTATATGGGGTTTATTCCTAATATGGATGATTGGGCTCAGTAGCAAAAGACAAAGTAAACTAGGTTTTATTATTTGAGAATGTCTCTCTTTTGGTCTGTATTTGTACAGCAAGGAAGTTGGCAATATATAAAGCTAGTGACAACGTTGCAATGAATGGGGAATTAACATTTCCTCCCTAAACTTGTATCTGATTTTGATCTCCAGTTATTTTCAAAGATTAAACTCATGGTATTTTTGTAGGGTATACGTATAGCAAGCCAGTAAAATTTTTTCTTCCTTATTGCCTTTGCAGTATAAGGCCAAGTCTTGCTTCGGGTTGTAATTATTAATTAGTTTTGAGACTCTGACATAGTTTATGTATTAAATATCTACCAATCTATGAGAGAAGAGTTGCCGAATGCTGCTTTTACATTTTGCAGACTTCAGGTCTTTGTGCTCTTTGTAATGATAGAATTCTAGTCTCTAGCTTCTCTTGCTCATATTTTACATTGCATATTTTGTGACTTTTATTTAAAATATAAGCCAGGAAATAACCCTGAATCATTTTGAACATATATGGATGCACTTGAAAACTTTCCTATTTCAGGCAAGTAGTGAAGTGGCGAGAGCAAAAATAAAATGGCCCTTAATTGGGTCTTTCGATATTTTCTCCTAGTTACAAATTTTTCTGTATGTTTATACAGTGTTTCTGTTCTTTCTTTAGCTCTGCAGCATTTTTACACTTTTACATTGTGGTCAGTTTGGGGATTATTATTTGTGAAGTATATAATCTCACTAACCAGCTGTTCAGAAACAAACTGTAATGGGACATCTCAAGATAGAACGGGTAAAATAGGCCCTAACAAGATTTGCTAATTCCGTAGTAGCTGAAAAGATGGTCAGAGAAGGTGTTTTACTTGGCCTTTTACGTGGTAGATGACATATGGTATTTGCTATGTGTGTTCGGAAAAGAGAGTAAGAGACAGTGCAACTCCAAGAGTACTCTAATCAAATTTGTATCATGCTTTCTTTTTGTCTTGTCCCATCTAATGAAAGCTAAAGGCACGTTTCTTTATTTTCTATACAGAAAGATGGCCCTTTGAATTCCTTTCATGTTTTGTATCCACATTGAATAAAAAAATACTTATTTGCGTGAAATCCATTACTCTAGCAGTTCATCAGCTCATGGCCACGAAATCCTTTATTCACCCGCAGGGTGAGAAGACCCTAAGAAACTTCTTTTGTTTTCTTAAATACTCAAGTTACCCAGTGGATCTACTGTAAATATGTCAGGATAAGAATTTGAAAAGAAACTGAGAAAATGAAAACATTACATAAAGATTTCTGAATATGTTATTTGTTGGGCTTAAAAAAACAAGAAAAAATCTTGTCCTCCACTAGCATCTCCCATTATTTTTACTAATAATGTTCATTTTCTGTCTACTCATTTCCTCATAGCCACCCTCTGTGTCCCATTTCTTCACTCTTGAAGTTCAGCGCATAGATTGAATAAATGGAGTGAAAATCCAACACAGTCTGGCTCATATTCTAATTTTTGTTGTAGAAAAGTATTCTGGCTGAACTCTGCTCAGGTGAATGAGGTAACAGGCAGTGAAAATGAAATCATATCTTATAGGAATGCTTGACAGGGCAATTTGTTTTGGGGTTTTTTTGTGATTAATATGTTCAAAAATGAAAGCTTTGTGTTTTGTACTTCCAAAATTGTTTTAAATGTACTTGATCTGAGTACTGACAGTTACAGCCCCACATGGCATCATTATAAAAGTCTGTGCCTCCTGGGACTTTCTTCAGAGGGGCGACATTAGCCCGTTTCTAGACACAGGGTTTCTGTGAAGCACTACTTCCCTCCTCTGCCCCTCCCCTTTCAGTTGAGGGTGGATTGGTAACTGCCTTCCTCTTGACTATGCTAGAAGACTCTTAACCTTCGTTTGAAAAGTGCCACTCAAATGGTTTAAGAGTTATTGCATCTTTCTTTGAAGATTAAGAACTTTATATGGAAAAGTCCTGCAAACTGAGCCCATGTCTTTTAATACATAATAGAATCTTGTATCAGTTGTGCTACTGGGCAGAAAACTAATAAAGCAAACACCTTCCTCTAAAGAGGCCCCCAGGTTACCTGTGAATCCCTAAGTAGCCACCTGTAGTACTCAGCTTGGAATGGAGATATATTTGTATGAGAGCGAAAATGTACTTTATAAGCATTCTGTTTCACATAAGTGCACCTCCAAGGTGGTCCTGTGAGGCTGGCCCAATGAGTGCTCATGTTAATATTTATACTCATCTTTTCTAAAATAGTTATACTGTAAATTTTTCCAAGGAAATAGGTTAATCTTGGCCTTCAAACTTGTCTCAGCAGCACATCATTGGAAACTGTGTGGAGTATTTCTGAATCACATGCCAACGAATAGTTATGTCAGGATAACAAAAAAAGATCAGAATTCAATGCATTTGTAATCACCTGGAATCATCTGACAAAGTTTAAGTGAACAATAGGAATTTTCAAGTTGTTATTCAGTTGAATCCTCTGTATCTCTCTCAACCAATGCCAGCTATGCTCTACCCAAATAGTTTTGTGCCTTTTCCCTTGTTGCAACAACTTCGTCTAGATTTTCAGGATAAAGAAGGAAACTGGAGGCAACTCTCCATTTACCAAAGTCAAAAGCAGATAAAGACTTGTTTGCTGACTTCTTGCTTGAGGTTGGAACATGATTTTCAATAATGTACTGCACTTCAGGGCACGTAGGAAAGGCGATAACTGTAGACCCCAGCCATAAGTTCTTAACCAAGGTTGCTCTTTTTCAGGAAAATGATTGCTAGAACAATGGCCATAAACGTCCATTAAGATCAATTAAACAACTAAATTGTAACATAATCTATTTGTTGCCTTTTGTCTGGGGAAACAAAACAGTTCAGTGAGTGTCATGGAAGTGCTATAAGTAAGTATAAGTAAGACGGTGAAACGTATGTGTGGGTGGGGAGGTTCCAGAGAAGGACTGGGCTAGTGGGTAGTGATTGGTGCAAATGGCAACAGCAGCACATGGTGAAACCTCTTCTCTCTAACTAGAGAAAATAATTTTTTAATAAGACTTAAAGGAAGAAAAATCAGAGAGAGATATTACAAAGAGGCTTGGAGACGGTTTCTCTAACGAATGAAGGAAAACATCCCATCCTCTCATAGGATAAGCCTATTCAAGGAAAACATGATACTCAAACCTTTAAACATGTAATATAAGTCTTCCCATACTGGTTGCTGTACCCTTGTAGACCAGATACCAAGATGAAAAGTGGTGCCAGTTCAAGTCCTTTGTGGAGATGCTTATTAGCATGAGCTAATAAGGATAAACATACACGTATTTCATCCAGTGGGTAACTGAATAGAAAATAAATTCAAGAAAGAATATTCCCACGATACATAAGAGATGCTAAGTCCCAGACTTTCAGAATAAGGTATGTAAAAAAGGAGTGATCTATATAAAAGCAGACTGATTTTTAGATGCTGATTATCTGCAACTCTCTCTGCAACCAGCAATATCTGTAAATACTAAGGAAATCACTTTTGTTTAAGAGTCTAACTATTTAACACATCACCCTTTAGCTCTGATTATTGAGTACACATCTGAACCTTTAATAATAAACTTTGAATGGTAGAAATACTTCATTCTCAGCTCTCAGCATGTGAAAGTATATTGGTTGTTAGTGAATATATTGGACTGAAATGGGGGAATATGGGAAATCTTCAGGAAGAGACAACTAAGGAAAAATAGAACTAGGAAAGTGAGATATTCTTTCATATCTATTTTGGGATTGCTACTTGGCCTGCCTGCCAAGCTACGGTTCTGTAAAGATATAAAAGTGACAGAGCTTTTGTAGATGACCAGGAGCAGGAGTGAAAATTTTATACGTGGCAAATTAAGCCTAAATTGACTGGACAATTTGTTTGGAAATTTGTTTACTTTTGCCTAAATATGTATCAAAGCTGCAAATTTTGATGCATTTAGATATGGAAAATTTAAATGATTTCAGTTAGTTTCTAGTATTTGAGCTGAAAGGAAACAATTATTATTTCAAATGATACACATTTATATGACTTTTTTTACCTCCATTTCTCCCAAATTACATGAGGTGCATTTTCTTTTTGGACGTTGAGGTCTCTCCTTTCACAGAGCAAGAGTGGTTTCCTTTGAGTCATGGCAAGTTAGAATTTCTGAACATGAAGACTCATATCCTTTAAAGGCAGAGATTTCATACATTCTTCAGGTTGACATGATTTTAACAGGAAGCATATATTTATGGAAAGGAAATGGAGGAGTGGGGTGAATTAATTTGCAAATATAATGAAAACTAGAAATTCCATTCAGAACTTCATCTTCCTATTTAGCCTGTGAAGAATGCAAAACATGGCCTCAACACTTTTTATTGTAGAAGATCAAAGTACACCCTAGGTATAATGAATCAGGATAACTGAATGCATATGACCAGTGGTGATTAGAAAGAACACAAAGAAAATATGCAGAGGAAGCACTGGAGAGAAGGTATGCTTGTACTATCATCTCCTGTGATCACCTCTCTAAAATCCGGAAAATGGGCTACACTTTCCATTAAATATCTATGTAGAGGAGGAGTGATTCTACTAGAATAATACTGATATGGAAAGAGAGACTGAACCTTCTCCCTCTAGAGATTCGAAATAAGAGGAGTCTGGTACTGCTGGATACAAGTAAATGATGATTCTCTCCTTTCATTTAGTCTTTCCCTTACATTGTCTTTGGTTGATGTGAGAGAATATCATTTTCTGATATTCTCTACAGAACAATTATCTACTACCAGTTTATATCTGGAGCTTACAGCTAGGCAAAGAGTTTGGTCCTGGAGCTTTGAGGACTCCATGGATCTGACACCTCTTTAATGTTCATTTCAATTCATCTGTATTCTGGAAGTCATGACATTTTAGGTTCTCTTACCAGCACATTCTCACATGATACACTAATAAAGCACACAGCTGCCAGAGGAGTTCCATTAAGGTTCAAAGTACTTTCTAGGAGTATTTTTTATCCTTTTGTGTTCTAATATTTTAATCTTCTGGGAAGAAGTCTTTCCTGTTATTGATCTGTTTTCTTCAATGTCATCATAGATATGACTTCCCTAGAAAATAACAATCTTTAAATCCTACAATTGCAACAGAATGAACTGAAGGAGTTAACTGGAAGAATTAAATAAGAAGAATTAATGAGGAATGGCAACTCTGATCTGGTTTTCACCAAAAAGAAATCTCTTGCTTTTGCCAGCTGCTTATCTTCCACCTGTAGCTGGATTTTAATGGTAGCTGCTGCCTTAGGTTTCACATTCTCAAGGAAACTAAAAGAGCAAGAAAAAGAGACGCTCGTCTGCCTTTCTGGCATGCCATCTCTGTAGCGTAAACTTAGAAAAATCCTGTGTTCTAAAAATGAGCCAGATTCATGAAGGGAGATAAGGATTTGAGATTTTTGTCTTTCCCAGATTTTCTTGGCTCTTTTGGAGTTCATATGATCTTTTTGGTAGTGGCTGTTAGCCCTCTGAATACAGTTTCCTTTGTCTCCAGCATTCTCCTTTGGGTCTCCTTTGCCCACCAATAGCAGTGGTGGGCAAAACAGCCCATCTGCAGAAAACTGGGCAGTTGACCAGGACAGTAAAAAGGGATGCGTTTCTAGAGCTTATTGCACAGTGGCTTCTGAATGGGTGGCACAGTTAACCATGGCATGTATGGGAAGAGACAACAACAACTGTTTTGAAATAGAGCAGGTCCTGACAAACAAATAGCAAAAGGGTGCAAAAAGAGGTCAGAAATCAGTGTCAAGACATTCAACTGGAGTCACCTGAAGTGTATGAAGTATGGTTAGCATGTAATTTATTAAATTGTTTTAAATATTTGTCCTTTTCTTGAAAGTTAGTTATACTAAAGCTATTAACAGAAAAAATATTCCTATTAATATCTCCCAGCAATAATTTCCTTTCAGAATGAACAGTAAGAAGTTATTAGAATCCTAGATTGTTGTTGACATCATAGGAACTTGCTGAAATTGGAAAAAAATCCTTTAATGAACTTAACTGGAGAAAAGTTTAGAAAAGCCTGTGAACAACCACTGTGCTGTTCTAGTTCTTCATTTTGGAAAAACACAAAAACAAACTTTAAATGAAGCAACAAAGTTGTGCACTGCTAATGATAAGCAATCCACCTTTACTAAAACAACATAATAAATTTAAAAATGTTTATATTGAACTGGTAGGCAAAGGGAGGAACAGAAGCAGGACAGTTTTCTTATGTCACCCATTTTAAGAAGTGAGAGAGGACTTTCATTCTACCACTACACATCTAAGGTCACATTTCTATCCCATATCATTTGGACTTTCTAAGTCTTCTCTGTGCATACCTAACAGCCCTGTGCAGTTGATTTGAGCCAGCAAACTTATATAGTTCATCTTGTACAAAAGCTGAGAAATAAAATGTTTTCATGCCCTCTGTCAATATCATTGCCCTCCCTTTATTAGCAATTACAAGCTGCCACCATTTAGTGAGACCACCTACAAACACCAGAATAACACTCTCGGGCAAGACACATTTCTGCTTGCTCTTCTGTGCACAGGAGGAGGAAGAAGAGTAAATGCCTGTCACAACTAAAGAAAAGGTTTCTCTGCTGTGCTAGTGTGATGGCTTCTTGGCCTGGACCTGATGTCTGAGATAGCACTCTGACATCTGCTGAAGGTTGGAGGGTGGGATGTCAAGAACTTGTGTAATAACACAGGACAAGTTCTGCTACACAAACAGCAGAAAACTCTTCTCACACTGGGTTTAAGGAGATGGAGTTCTCTTTTTTTGCAAACATCTTTAAGCCTGCCCATTCTTTCCCTCAGCAATAGAAAATGTGTTGGCAATCCCCCTTCCCTAACTGATGGGAATGATTTTGAAGGGATTTATCTAAGCTTGCAGTTCTAAAAATTCCTCTTCTCTTTACAGCCCTCTGAAGATATGGTACCCTTTGAGTCAGACCTCTACCGACAGCCCCACGACTATTACCAGTATCTCAACAGTGATGGAGAGAGCCATGGTGGTACGTTTAAAAATATTTCCTTGGAGCATAATGTCTCATGGGATATTGCAGGAAAGAGATTTAGTACATCTAGTAAAAGAACAAACACGTTGTTTTGATCTATAATGCATAAGCACATATTTTCAAATCAGAAACCTATGATAATTCATGGTGTTTAGTGACACCATTCCAAATCAGCAACCATGACACAGTATTCGCTGAAAGAGAATTTCAGAAAGCACTGAATAATGTAAGGAACTTCCAGGACATTCAGCATATTGCCAAGAAGGTGGGATCTCATGATCTCTGTCCTTCATTATCTTTGCTGTGTTTTGATGTTTCTCTACAGATCAAAACGACTCTGCTTATTTCAGAACTCTTTGAGGACATGGATTTGCAATACTGTACTTCTCTTCTTGTGCTGTCATCTCCAATTCTTCTTTGACTTAGGTCCTAAATACTCTGTTTGTTCCTTCATTTTTATTCTGTTTCTTTGGCATTTAGCCTTTCAACTCCATATATTTCTCTTTCTTTTGATCTCTTTCACATGCTGCCACACCTAGTTTAAACTTTCACTCTTCCTGCAACGCACCCAAGTACTTCCTCTGTTTATATCTATGTAAAACTTCCTTGTAACTGTTTGTATGTAAACCTAGCTCAATATAAAAATACCATATGATTATTTAGAGCTATATAATATATATATTATTTATATATGCAATTTAAAATTAATATTGGTACTGAAGTAAGTTTTGGTGTCTTCTATATCTTCAAGTCTTCTGGGCACTGGACTCTGTATCAATGCAGAGGGGAGACCACTGCTTTGTGAATCTACTCTCTCGTGCAAAACAATGTTCCAGCAACACCACCTGGGAAATACTGGAGTCAGTATTGACTCAGGAAGGAAAAGCACCATTCTGCTGTATCACTCATGGCAGTCATGCCACATCATGGAGTTTCCCTTAGAGACTCCTACAGATACAGTAACTAGACCCATCGCTGCTTAAGACATCTAACAACTTCATAGCATAGCACTGTTTTATCTGTGGCAGCAGAAGCCATATTAAAGGAAAACAAGTTTCAGAATAGGCTGGATATTTAACTGAAAAATTTGTTCTCTACATTGCATTCAAAAAATAGATATGAAATTCTTAAGACCTGGAGACAAAGAACTCGTTTTGTTTTCATAACTTATCTCAAGGCCTCTGGCAAGTCACACGGATCAAACCCAGCAAATTCCACATGCAAATTCAGGGTTTTTATATTATAATCTGTACCTCAGTTTCCACATCCATAAAATAAGGATAACATTTATTATCTCAAAGGGCAATTGTGACAATTAACAATAAACATAGAAGATGCCACACAGGAAAAAGCACTGGAAAAGTACTCTTCTGTCATCAAATCTAGGCTACCACAGGCAACAACACCCCTCTATCCTTCCTAACCTTATGAAGTCCAGTCTGGTTTACTGCCCATTTTTCTACTGGCAGGCTGTTCCTCAAGTACACTGCTCAGATCACTAGCATGTTTTAACTCTCTCTAACGAACACAACAAAACTCAAAGCCACCTATGTGGATTAAGTACTCTGTTCAATGTAAATGCTGAAGACACCTAAACACTTATTTAAGACATAAATTTGTGTTTTCTAAACTCTTGTTTTACTTATTCAAAAGACTCCGAAAATGTTGTTAAAGTTCTTCTACAGCAAGTGGTTATGGAAAGGGCAACTTAATCCCAATCTGCACATTTCAACTGAATCTTTACTTACTGAAGAATTTTACAATTTTTTAAAAGAATATTTATGAATTTTTACTTCTATAATGCTTAGTTGGTTGTGCTCAAACATTTTATAAGCCATAGTCTTTCTTGAATTGCTCAGTCTAATGAGCAATGAACAACCAAGGGGTATGGAGGGGAGTGACTACTTGAGTGTTAAGTGTCTACTTGACTAGACAGTAAAATGCAATTGAGTAGAGAGTAAAGGGTATGCAGCTGAACATCACTAATTTAATACCTAGGAGATCATTGCAAATAGGTGAAACTGTAAATTTAACTAGCAAAAATAAACCATAAAAAATCCATGTGCTAGATCACAACATGCATTGTTTGCATCTATTTTGTATACTGTAGATTAACTATTTTGCAAATACTGTAATAAACACAGAGATACAGGCGTGCAGGGTAGAAGCTACTTCAAGTGTTCATGTATTAGTCTACTGCCTTTCCCTGAGCCTGTATGCTAGTAGGTCTGTAAATGTAACGTAGCATATTTTGTAACACTAATGCAATCTTGGTAATTACAAAATTCCACTGCACTTTTGTCTCCAAATTATTACTAAACATTATTGGTTTAGTAAAATATCACTGTTTGTACGAAGCTAAATGTCGGCCACTTTTCATTTTGTTGCTAGTTTGATGAAACTTATTAGTTTTTGTGGTTTGGGTTTTTATTTTCATCCCACCTCCTGAAGTAACATGACCATTCAAGATCCTTGTTAGGATTGTAGCCCACATAGTAGTAGAGGAAAATCCAAACATGTGAACCTTAGTCTTAAATGCCATACAGCATGCAGAACTCCAAAATCCCCTTATTTTAAAGTCATTCTCATGATTTCTTGGGGCCTGACTCATGGATTTTCTAACATTTGGCATTAAAATCATAAAATATGTTAATTAGTAAAGTGAGAGCTAATGAGATTCTGCTGTCTTTCTAGATAAGACTGGTGTACTGCCTAGAAACTTGGCATTTCACTCAACACGGTGGTTCTGTAGGGAATCAAGACATGGATTTTGCAGTGTCCTTCGGTACTTTTCTCATTTCCTCTATGGGATTTCTCTTGGCTCGTTTTTTCAGATAGGTAAAACACAGTGGGAACATCTAAGCCATGCAATGAGGCACTGTGTAAAAAACCTTCTCGTAGTTCAAAATGATCTGCATGGCACAGAGCACAACCAATCAGAGATACTAGCTCAGATCTCAAAAGTATAGCCATGTTAACACAGTGATCTTAGATGAGGCAGAGTGCTGTGCTGACATAGCTATCACATTTCCGGTTCAAGAGCTGTCTCATGAATTTCTGTATGGTTTTGCACTGCATGATGCAGATTTAGCCAGTTGCTCCACTTTATCACAAATACTTTTCTTAAGCCTACTTCATATTGTAACTGCTTGTCCTGATGTTATTTATCTATTAAAACAAGAGGAAAGAAATATCTCTGGGACAGAGGACGGCCAAGAAAATTTAGATATGTTTTCTCACTTCTAGAGTGAGAATCTATCCCTACGATGAATATTAACACAATGCCTTTAGATCCACTATTGCTTCCCAGCAGGCTAACATCTCTTCTGCTATGGAAGGGAGTTCAGAACTCATGACTGTCCTTCCTCTAACCTTTCGCTACATACAAGACCAAAACAAACATGATCTCCATAAGAGAAAATTTTTTCACATCCTCTTTCACTTCACATGAAATTTCTCATAATGACTCCATTGTGTAGCTATAGGCTGGATTTTAGTGACATTTTCCTTGACTCAAAGAATATACACTTTCCATTTCTAGAATGTTTCTCTCCTTTCTTTTCTCTTCCCTCCACCTTTACATTTTTGTGAAAAGAACAGAACTGCAACGCATTACTGACATCACCCTAGCAAAGAAGGTAGAAGGAAAGAGTTGCAATGCAGCTGATATAACTCCAATACCGGCAGATATTTCTAAATTGTTTATCTTTTGATGTGCACTAAATTAGGCAGGGTGGTACAACTGGAGAGTGGTTTGTGGAGGCAGAATTAGGAATTTCTCTTTTAAAGTCACTAAAGCAACATTTTTTCCTAAGGATCACTCTGAAATTATACATAATTTAGAACAAAATAAGGACTTTTCTCCCGTCACAACTTGAGTATTTGGATGCAAGTTTGCATTGAGGTAATTTCTGACATTGTAACATATAAGTATTATGCGGTCACTGTAAGTCCCCAAATGCTGTATTATTACTATTATCATATTATAGTAATATTACAGCACTTCAGCAACATAAAATACAACAGAGAAGAAATTCAGTAATGAGTAGGCTAAGTATTACATAGTGATTACCATGAATAAAGTGTGAATACTGCTCTACAGGTTAATTCACTCACCAAGGAAGAATTTAAAAGGACAAATCTAGAGGCAGCAAGAACCTTGTCACAGGTTCTGATAAGTTAAGAGGTACCTTGAAGTACAAAAACATCCCTGCTCATAAAAATATTTAAGGAGATTCAAAAGCAGACTGCTGGAGCATGCACAAATACTCATGGCTATGCGTGTTGGAAATGCACTGCTTTGTCTCTTGACCACCTTAGTTACTACTACAAAGAAACTTCACAGCTGAAGACCTGTTACTGACACTACTCACTCTCCAGCCTCAGAGAGTTTTATTTGGGCTTTGTTATCCTCAAGATTATTTATGGTTCTCCTTTGCTGCAGTAGATCACCAAAGAGAAGTGGTCTTTGGGAAGAAATATTGCCATCTGATAGAGGACTTTCTGCACAAGAAGCACAGCCAGATCTGTCTAAGGAACAGGAGTACAGAGTACTCTTGTGATGCATTCTCAACAATTTATTATATAGGTCTGCTGTTTACTGGCCCAAAGAATAGCTGTATGTTGCCACCATGGGTGGTTCTAAGTAGAGTAATTTGCAGTAATTTAACCTGGCAAAAGCATGAGTTAATGCAGCTCAGCCTTCTAACTAGACAAATATCTTTCAGACTGAATGAGCTCAAAGCCTCCTACCAGAACACTACCTTAGATGACTCTGCCATTCCCTGGGTTGGAGAAGAGTGAATGTAATATGTAAAAGTACTTGTGCACTTTGCACCCTGTAAGAGCCATTCTTCTCCCAGAGAAAACAAAATTTATCTCTAGCACTAACGCATGAAGAAGTGCTACCATGCTTTATAACTTCTGGCCATAAAATCCATATATAGTCCACAGAAAGCACTAGATAACAAAGTAATGAAATTACAAACTCAAGACAACAACTCCCACTTTTAAAAACAGATTTCCATCCCTTTCACATGCAGTGACTTGGTTTATCCATGATACAAAAAAGTAGGAAAGGCAGAAAAGTAAGCCCTAGTGTCGAAAACGGTCTGATAAAGCCTCCAACAAGTACATTTCTACAGGCTTGAGCCCCAAAGGCAGCAAAAAGAGCCTACAACTTCCCAGGTACAAAAGTATGTATTATGTCATCTCAAGACATCAGATTGACTCTGAAAGAAGACACATTCAAAACCACTCTCCTGGTTTTCAAAATCTCCAATGGGATTAGGCCTAAATATCTGAAAGATAAACGGGAGAAGAATGAGGAGACAGAAGTTGAGAAAAAGAATGAAACCGGTATTTAAAAACAAAAATATTCGCAGTATGCTAGTATCCAGATAATGTCACACACAGTAGAATCGTATTACAGAATGAGACAGTTACTCCTCCTTTTAGGTCTTCAGTACAAGTACACTGGGAACAACCTGTTCAGTACTGTCCATCATATTATCAGAAGGATGTCAACAGATGGAAGGGAGTTTGGACAAGGGCACAAGTATGATTAGGGGGCCGAATGTACTGATTTATATTGAAAGATTAAGAAGCTAAACATGTAGAACTGGATTAAGTGTAGTTTATGCGTGTACATGATAGCAACCTGAAAAATATGTGAAGGGTAAGATAGAAATAATTTAGAATAATGCAAGGGGAGAAAATGAGGCATAATGAGATAAAAATTAGAAATGTTACACTGAATATCATAAAGAGCTTCTGACTATGCATAAAATGATGCATGAAAAGTTAAATTATGAAAAACTAGTTCCAAGCTCTGCCAGAGCAGAGGATATGACGTTGACTTTGATTTTAAAAAAACAGAGTGCTCACAAACATGTGCATAATTATGCATGCAGCTACTGTACGAGACAAATGGTGTTTGCAAAGCTTCAAATTTCCTCTAACATATTTTAAATTGTGAGCAGAAAATATGAAATTCTGAAAACTCAGGAGATGTTTATATAGAACAGAAATCTAAAACTGAGAATTGTATGGAATTTAATTTCAAAGTAAATAAATCAGGAGACAGTATACTGATTATCTGAGTACTTGTTTATGTCTTCGAAAGAATCTAAATTTGCCACACAGTTCTAAGACAATACAGAGATAAAAATGGTAGAGAAAGAGTCTTCATCAGACATTTGCCTCACTGCACAAGAGTGTTCACAAGACTTTCCCAACAGTTTTTATCTTTTTATTCTCTGATACTGGTACTGGAAAATGTGTAACGTAGTAACTCAAGATCAGAGGGAAAATCAAGCAAAGTCCCATGCCTTTTCTGTAGCATTCCTGAACGTTCCTGAAATTTTGGTACCAGAGTAAAACAAAGCATTGATGAAGACAACTGTAGAAAGAGCTATAATTTGCCTCACTTCCATACCATGAGGAAGACTCTAACGACAGTCTGAGAATATATAAAACAGTGGAATTTGTTGCCTCAAGAATGAAAATGTAAGATTGACAGGGTCTCCTGTTGAGAAAGGTGCCAGCACTAAACCCTTTGGCATCTTGTGCTACATTACCACTGAAATCTGTCACGGTTCCATCTAAAAGTATTTTCCTAACGAAAGTTGCCTAAGTATCACTTGTGAGTCACGGGCATTTAGGAGATTAGGAAAAGAAAACTTTATAGGGATATCTACGGATTGTGACAGGGAGATAGGACAGTAACAGGTGTAGGAAGCAATGAAGGACAGATAAATGCAATGTTTCTTACTTTTGTAGTGACATACAAATTGTTTTTATTTTCCTTAGATCATTACTGGGAATATCATCCACACCACATGCACAGTGAGTTTGAGACCTTTGGAGACAACCACTTCACAGAACTGCAGAGCGTGCAGCCTCCCCAGCTGCAGCAGCTCTACAGGCACATGGAGATTGAACAAATGCATGTCCTGGATTCTGCAATCCCAACCACACACATTGGACTCAACCATCAGGTATGGTTACCAGTTCTTGCTCAGAATTTATGATGATAGTCAAGGGCAGGGAACAGAGTGCATCTGGAAATGCATATTGTTATGCCAAAGATATTGATGAAATTAATTATATAGAATTGCTATTGCACAAGTACTTGATAAAAATTCTTCATTCTAAGGACAAGTGTGGTTTAAGCATTCTTTCCATCTGGATGATGGTTCACAGGTTGCCCCTTATTTAATGGGTCATGTTCCTCAAAATATGCATAAAAAGACAATTCCATTTGGTGGAGGGTTTTGAAATTTCAAAATTTTGTTTAATTTGGAATCAAAAATCAGCAGTTTTGAAATTCTACAGAGGAAACGAACTTGAGAAGCTGTACACTGTCATCACAAAGGTACCTGTGACTCTTAGGAAGTATTCTGAGCCCCAAAATAGCAGGAAAGCTTTAAATATTTCCAAGTAGCCCTGACAATTTTACACGCACAAAATCCTACATGAAACACAAATAAAGACAAGTCACAGGTAGTTTTACCACCATGAAGCATTTTGAGGACAACCTACTTATGCTTCTACCTGAAAGTAGATGAGATGCAATACACTGCTTTGTCATTACTCAGTTTTTAAATGGAGACAATCATCTCCCAGTAAAAAAATGTACTCCATTGTGCAATAAAGATAGTCATGGAAGTGCCATGTGAGTACACATTAAAGCTGAAATTATAAGGGAGTCCCTAGTATTGCAAATATGCTAGCACAAGGTGGGTGCAGGAATCACTTTTAACCCGTGGACCCACAAAAACATGCCCAAACTCATTTCAGAGAACAATGAGAGAGCAATGTGATCTTGCGCTACTGATAATTTGCTGAATACAAGACATACAGTAGGACCAAAGTCAGAGAAAGAGGTGTTTACTGATTACAGTGCTGCATAAAATGGTGCCATGGCCAAGGTTTTGTCAGAGAAACTGCTTTCATGCAGTTGTTATTTTGGGTTTCTTTGTTCACAGCAAACTGAAATTGTATACAAATACTCAATTAATAAACAACAAATACAGAAAAAAACTGAATGATTAAGTTACACTATCAACAGCAAACTGAATTACTGAAAGCCCTCAAACTTGTCACCTATTGCTCAGTAAAAAATCAGCAATAGAATATAAGATACAGATACAAACAAAAAATTAGGAACAGAAAGTTACAAATATAAAAAATGTTTCATGGAACAGCAGTCTGTGGGAGGCTTCAAGCCATTTCAGTTGCTCAGTGTAACTGCTGGTATGTAATGACCAACCGTTAACATCCAACCCAAGGCCAAGAATAAAACTTGCCCCATTATGGATTTCTTTGGAAGCATCACCAGAAAGCGAGAGAAAGGGTGTTTTTTCTTATCCTACTTCATGCTACTCAGTTATTACCTTTCATTTCAGGATGAAAGACAGAGAATTAATTTTGTTGCAACTCTCAGTAAAGAGCCCTGCACTCTTCCTCCCTTACCCCATGCCAAGCTGCAGATGATATAAGTAGTCAGTTCACTACTAGCCTCCTCTTCCTTACCAGTTGGGGATCTTTGGGTTTTTTACTTTAACTATAGCAGCTCATGCAAACGGTACTCAGCATGCTCTGAGGTTCAGACTCTGGTGTGTCTCAGCCACAACCCTTGGGAACACATACTATTATTCAAGGCATTTTCAGGGAAACAGAAGCAGGAAGCAAGCTTTAATCCTCAGCTGAATTTGCCAGTTACTAACTGTGCCCATGGCTGTCACGCAATATCATAGCTACAGTTTGCAAATAAAGGAAGAACAAGCAAAGATATTTCTCCAGTTTTCTGTTGATATCACTTTATTTTGCAAAATCAAAATTGAGGCTCAAACTATCCCTGGACAAGATTTCTTTAAAAAGTTTTGATAGCCTGTCCACAGGTGCTCTCAGCAAATAATAAATGAAGAAAAGAACAGTCATTCTGACAGGAGAATGAAAGAAGAGGTAGGAAAACTGTGACAAGAATTAGAAAGAGGAAAACCACACATGGATGCCACAGACTCTGAGAGAGCATCAGAATATGGAAAGTAGCTAGCAATTTCTTCAAGTTTTCCCTTTCCAGAATTAATAATAACCTGGCTCTTTTAAACTTGCTAGCAGGTCCTTTGTAACTCTTTATGTAACATTCTCAGGACACTGTATGTATTGACCTACACTGAGTTTCAGATATTAGGAAAGTAAGTGTAACCAAAAATATAGCAGATAAGGAAAGCAGGGACAGTGTGGATGAAGCTCAGTCAGCTCCCCAGGTCAGCTTCACCGTCCTTTGCTCGGGAGTCACCATTCCTCCTCTCACCTCCACAGCGCTCTCCCACCTTCCCCTCCACCCCAGAGGAATCGTTTTCCCCACCGCTGAACGCGCTCTAAGCTTCCACAGCCGCCTTCTTTCCAGAGGCACCAATCTCTGTTCCCCTCCCCTGTAAGACATTGTCCTACCGTCTCATTCCCCTTCCCCCACCAACACTGTCTCTCCCTTCCTTCCTAACTCTGAGGCCACAGCTTTCTTAACTGTAAAATGTTAAAGGTGACTCTGTGGTGAGGGCTGAAGTTTCGCTCTTGGGGATCTGACAGGAAGCTTACACACTCTTACCCAATCCTGGCCTTCCTGCCATGTTCGTCTCCAGCCAATCTGCCAACTCATTAACCGCCAGCTGCTGCACCCCTAAACCAGCCCTTTGCGCACTCCTTATTGGGACATTTTAAACTGGTGCAAAGCTCATCCAAAAAGCACCACCCAGCAGGGTCTAATATTGGGTGGCTGAGTGAGTCATGAGGTGAACACCCACTCCTCGCTTCAGTGCCTAAGCTTGTGTGAAGGGAATCATGCTCAAAGCATCCTTTCTTGATGGAGGAAAGAAGAGCAGTTCAAAAGGAGCTTGCCGCCCAGGACTATTGATCTGGGACATTTCATAAGAACCACATTTTATTTGCTGCTGGTTTTGGAAGTTGTTGGTGTTTTTAATGTAGGAATTGGGTTCCCTATTCTCCTGTCCCACAGGCTGATCTGTTTCTGACTCTTCAATAAGCTGTAGTTAACTCATGGCAACTAGTTGTGATCCCTAACAAAGTAGAAAGAAATTGAGAATTTACAGAGTGGAAGTATATTCCACACTGCTCCTGACATGTCCCCTATAACAGGGTGAGAGAATCTAACATAAAAGATGGCTTGCTAGCTTTCCAGATGAGAAATCCCCATCAATGGGGAATTTTCATACAGCCCCACTTAGGAAAAAAGAATGTGATCCCGTATGATGTGTCCTTTATCTTGGAGGTAAGCCTATTCCCCTCCACAGGGAGGGAATTCAAAACAAGAAGCTGACAGATCTGTGTAACCCCTGCTCCAGAGCTGGATGCAATCCTGTAGGGATTTAGTGCTGTCAGAAGGTACTACATCCTAGAAAGGAAAAGAAGACAATTGAGCCAAAAGTAGTCAAAGTGGCTAGGGTAGGGTAGAGCTGCTCAGCTAGTTCCATAAAGTCCACTTTAGAAAAAAGTTGTTGTCAAAATCAGTTTTACACAGGGAATAGGTAACAGGGATCAGAAAGTCATTAGACAAATGCTGTCTTGGTATATAATCACTACACAGAAGAAATCTTGCAATATTTTGAAAGCAATTACAGTATTTTCAAAGCAATTATTATCAACATAGCATTTTTTCCCCAGAAGGCCTGCCTACAAAATCTCATTTTAGAAGAATGGTCAAAAAAAAGTCTCATCTTTTACCTCGGTATCTAGATTGCTAAGAATATCAAAGCTGTTCTATTTGTTTTTCAAAACTGTTTAAAAAATACAAAACTGTAGACATATTTTTGAAATATGAATCTGTTCTGAAGCTGTGAAGTCAACCAAGTAATCCATATATCCAGGTAAAGACACCTGTTACACCAATACAGAGTCTTTAACCAGGAAAAAAAAGTGGATTCTCAGCCATTAGGAAATCTGGTACTCTGTGTGACCGTTATCACCTTCTTCTAGGGTTCTCCTACATAAGCAACACAGCTATCTCCACCCCCCAGCAAGAGGAAATGCCTTCTAAATTAGAAAGAGAAGGTTACTGTATTGGGGAGGTATGGGGGGAGGGGGACAATATCACTTGCATAGGATGTAACATATGGGAAAGTTCTGACTTTCACAACCTTGTTCCTCCTTCCCTCTTGTAAAGACTTCTTTAAGATGCATCTTTGTATATGTATAAGTGTTAACTGTTAGCTGGATCGCTTTGTTAGCTGCCTAGTATTTATTTTAAATGTCAACAACTAAGTCACTAGCTATTGCCCTAAATAATCCCATATACCTGTTACTTTCTCCCCCTTCCTCTCTGTAACTTCATGACATCTCCTTTTTTCCCTTGATGTCCCACTCTCTGTCACTACTTCCTCTCTCCACTATTCTTCTCTCCCAAAGGTTTCCTATTTGCCCCGGATGTGCCTACAGTACTCCTCTCCACCACAGCCCAGTTCTGATGAGGAGGACATAGAAAGGCAGAGCCCCCCACTGGAGGTATCAGACGGAGAGACCGATGGTGTGGACCCTGGCCCTGGACTTATGCATGGAGAAACAGGTCAGTAAAAACTATGTGATTTGATTGAGCTGCATGTTGAGCAGCTGTTGTATTACTATGATGATAATGAATGAAACTGCAGAACTGCTGTGCTGGTATTTTGCCTCACTCTCAAAGATTTGCGTTCCCTGACTCCTTGCACTTTCCTGTCTTCAGGATCATTGATGGTCATAACTGTGTCTATATCTCAAATTTCATTTCTTCAAGCATTCCCACTTCCTTGTTCTGCTTTGTTTATTCAGGCTTCCTCTTAGCTACTCCCATTTCCATTAACAGATGGGAAAACCAAAGCAAGGAGGTTAAGGAACTGATTTTCTAAAATATTAAAATCTGTTTGTTCAGCACCTAAAAGTCAGGTTCTGTACAACCTGTCCAAATTAGCTTCAGATTAGCTTCAAATTAACAATGTTTTTCAATTGGCTTCAAATTAGTAAATTAGTTTCAAAACAAGATTTAGATCTTCGGAATTCCTTATTCTCATTTTTCTTCTCCGTACGCAAACCCACTTTAGGTCCTCACAGTGTAACACTTTATTGTTATAAATGTTGCAGTCTGAAGAAGTTAGGTGAATTCACAAACTAGCTGGAACAGTTATATGAACTACATAAATTCCCCCGTTTCATCAGAGACTACACACTGACACTTGTGTTCCACTGCCTTTCTCCTCTGGCTCTCCTACAGGCAGCAAGAAAAAGATCCGTCTGTATCAGTTCCTTCTGGACCTTCTTCGCAGTGGAGACATGAAGGACAGCATCTGGTGGGTGGACAAGGAAAAGGGTACTTTCCAATTCTCGTCCAAACACAAAGAAGCGTTGGCGCATCGCTGGGGCATCCAGAAAGGCAATCGCAAGAAAATGACCTATCAGAAGATGGCACGAGCTTTGAGAAACTACGGCAAGACAGGGGAGGTCAAGAAGGTCAAGAAGAAGTTGACCTACCAGTTTAGTGGCGAGGTAATGGGAAGGGGGGTCACTGATAGGAAGCATTATCCTCATTGAGGCCATGGGACCCTGAGCAAGAAAAATTTTAAGACCTCCTGGCTGGATACCAGCAGAGGAGACGGACGCATCTTTCTCTTTGCTTCCTGTGCCCTCTTCTCTACCTTTAAAGGGCCTTTACCATCAGATGTTTCTGGTACGAATTCCCTTCTTCAGCATCTGAGAATCCTAAAGGTGACAGAATTCTTTGCTTCCATCCTGCAAGTTGGACTAGAGTTGGGAAATTTAAACAATGTACAAATATATTATTGTCAGGAAATATTTTTTTGATTGTTTTGTAACTAAAGAATACAGCTGATGAAGTTTTGCCTTCAAAGGTGGTGCTGTGTCATTCACAGTGACACTGCATTAGCTTACAGCTTTCAAACTAGCATTAATACAGGCTCTGCCGCAGCTCTCAAAGCTAGAGAGAAGTTTGCAGATCTTGGAATACTTGTTCTTTTAAACAGTAATAACATGTACATATTTAATAAAATTTGATATAATGAAGTCCTGGTGTTCGCATAATAAATGATCACTTCACAAACAAATCTTGCGTGCTTTCATTTCTACAGATACAGTTCACATCTTATCTGGACAGAAAGTAAATTGGGCTACAGGACCTTATCTGTATTTCATCTGTCCCTACTTTTCAATTTCCTTAGAAACATCACCAATGCTACCAGATCAAGTAGCAAAGATAATAGGTGAGATGTATTACTGCAAAAGAGGCTACAGTATTTAATCAATTTTATAATATATATAAATTGTCATTATTTTTGCCTGTGCAAATAAAGACCTACCTAACTGAATAATTTCTATTCACTTACACCAAGGAAGGCATCTACAGCTCTATCCTGTTTAGAACACAACAATTAATTTATTTTCTTCTGTGCTTTCACTCATTTTCTTGCTCCTGTTCTTTCCTCTTGCTTGCTACCTCCACAGTAATATCTTGCTTTTAGCTTATGAGCCTTTCTGGGAGATAACTACTCTTTAATCATGTCTTTACAGAATTCCAGTACCAGGGAATTTTAAGTTTCTAACTGTGGATTTTAGGCCCTACTGTAAAGCAATTAATAGTAGCTAATAACAACTGCAGTTTGTAAATTACACCCAGAATGCAAAATAAGAGAGATTTCAACCTAAGAGACAATGGTAAGGTTACCCAGTACAACTGAACACAGAAGAAAAAAAAAAGTCAACTGACACTGACGATATTAACATTTTAACATTTAACATAATTTAACTTTTCTCGACTGTGGCAGAACTTCAGAAATCAGGAAATGTCACTAAGATTGAATGAATTAAGCTTTCTTTTGCCATTTCTACAAGTATATTGCAATAGCGCAGTTACACAGTTACAGACCATCAAAGAAATCAACAAAATATCCACCCTGAACTCCAGTACACATCTGAAGTACCTGACAAATAATTCACAAGCTATTTATATGCATGACACGCAGCACACATTCATAGTTTCTGACCAATACCAATAGAAGAGCAGTATTTTTGGAAGCTGTTAAAAAAATCGGTAGGCTAGCTGGGAGAGATTAAATTCCAAAATACATGAGGCAAAATGAGATAGATAGGTCTGAAATAAAGAGAAGGCTTTTGTTTAACAATATTAAACAGTAACAGAACATGCCAAAAATGATGATGTGAAAGAAATGGATTAAGTAACTGGAGCTTTTCCAAACTTGCTCCTAGGAGTATTCCCCACTGAAACCAGAAAGAGTTGAAAGTGGTGAGCAGAACTGAGTTCTCTACGTTATATCTAAATGTAGCCACTTTTATCTACACTGACCATCTCACTGTGGAATTAAGTCTGGTGACATCACTGGGCTACCGTGACTCCTTGGAGCCAAACAGCAAGAAGCTACTGCTTTAAAAAAAATTCACAATGTGATACTTTCCCAATCTAATTTATGAACATAATACTTACATCAGTCAATGCCAGAAATCAATTGAGAATTAAAACTAGGCAAGGGCTTCAGAAATTTCTCTATCAAAAGCAGCAGTAATAAACAGAAATTTTCTTTCCATCTTATAAAAAATCCCACAACCCCACTGCTCTTTGAGGACCATGTCTAGTCTCTTAGTCAAACATTTTTTATTCAGTTAGGGCTAGGATTTGTCAAAAGCTGTAAAACTACTAAAGAAGATTTTTCAAAATTGTACTGTGACAAACTATTTATATCATAAAATGTAATACTCACTCAACCAGACTCTCATAAACTCCATCTGCATCCATATTGCAATTGTAGGATGGAAGGTGAAGATGCTACCTCTTTTGGTCCTAAGACAGCCCTCAGAAGAGGGAGGACAAGAACAGCACTCAACTCAACCCTGACAGTCGGGGGTTTCTTCAGTGCTGAGCTAGAAACTCAAGATTTTCCTGCTTGGTTGTAAAGACAACTCTAGACCACAGACTTGCTACTAGAAAAAGAGAAAAGATATTTGCCCTGATCAGACTTGCAGACTTGATATTCAAGAAAACTAGAGGATTAACTCCCCTCTCCATAAAAAAAAAATCTTTATTGCAAACACAGTTTGAAAAGCAGAACTAATCATTCTCTGGCACTATTAATTCAGAGAAGAAGGATCATTTCCTCTTGCAGGAAAACTATGATGACTGAAAACAGCTAATCGGTGAGCTAATTGTGAAGATGTTTAGGATATCATATGAGGATATCATATCATTTCAAGATTGTCAAAGAGTCTTCTTAGAGACCCGGTCTCCTGCTTTCCCAGGAAGTCTGACAGAGAAAGCAATAAATGCTGGAAAAATAATACAAAAAATAAAGTAAACGCTCAAGCAGAAACATCAAGAACCTTTAAATGAACAATCTGACGTCTGTGCATTATTTTAGAATATTACTTTAGAGTAGCTGCTTGTAGTTTAATTGAAAGCTTTTCATTCTGTACTGGTTTTGGCCTCAAGCAACATGGAAATGGAAGTGGAAGAATCTGAGTAAAAAATTTTCTGGGGACAGCATTATTCGTAATTAAAACATTTTTACCAATCCTATTGAATATACTTTAACAAGTAGGTATAAAATGGTGTTTATTTCCAAAGTTGAAATCTTTTTCTCTTCCTCTTGGTAACTTTGAAACATTGTTTCTAAAAATATTCAATCTCCATCTGTTTCTGGTTAGGTTTTTCATCTGTGGCGTAAAGAGTCTGAATAATCATGTGTCGCAGCTGTGAAGGAGACCAAATGATGATGCCCTTCAGCCACAGTGCCATTTGTATCTCATCCAACTGAACTGTTCTGGAAAGTAAGCTGTCTAATCAAGCTGAATTATGGCAATTCTGTTGCACATGCAAGCAGAAGCTGTTTGGCTATTTTAGAGAAAAATACCAAAATAAATGTGACAAAATCACCAGTTCAGCAAAATTACAGAGTACCAAGAATACCATTTTCTCTGGAAATGGCCCAGTCACAGACAGGCAGAGGTGCTGGAAAAATATAGGTCAAGTCATTATCTGGACAGATGACCCATGATTAATACAAGCTTACTGGAACATTTTATATCCCGCTGATGTTAGAGATCATCAGTCCCTCTCTCAAAGCAAGCTACACCTGTATATTCAACTTACATATGACCTTTGCAACCTGCTTTAAAGAAACCAACCAGCTTTATTAGTTGCTGACTAGATCCTGATCAAACCTGGCAGGAAGATATTATTCAGAAAACTATTATGGAATTAAATCCAAAATTCTGAACCTCCTACAGTATTGTAGACTCCCTCCAGTCAGCTGTCAGAGGCATGGAAGGTAGAAAAATTGCACTTGCTGTACTTCATCTGCTTATAAATAATACACAGAGATACCATATCTTTATTAGTTCTACCTAGCGCAAGAAAGTTTTAGACATCTTCAGTTCTGAGTTGCTACTCATCTGCAGACAATTGCAGTTAAAGCCATTTGTTTTCTGCATAATAGTCTATATTTATCATACCCCACAAAATCCCTCAGAAGCACATATATGCATATTCTAATATAACATTCTACCTTAGTTTACTTTCTCTACTTGTATCCCTTGGTCTTTTTTTTTTTCTTTCTGCCATCTCTGTCTACAGGGGCGTTTTCCCTCATTCAAATCTCTGCACAACAAAAAACACTTCATGATCATCAAGCTTAATTCACATTAACAGCTGCAACTTCGTAACAAGTACTTTTATCACATGACACAAGTCAATTCAGTTTATTTAATATATTCTCCTAATTTGGTTTATAATCAAACTGCACATTGTAAATGCAGAGGAGAGACTTCATCATTCATGACAATACAATAAATTTATATTTTTCTCTGGCAAAGCCCAGAACAGTGTCTTGTCCTTGGGTATCCCACTCTTAAGCATCTAAAATGTACAGAGGACTGGTAAAAGAGACTGTGATATGACACAGACTACAGTAGATAGTCTATGGGCATAGTCTGCATTTTCCAAGAATCTGCATTTATTTCTCACATATTTTGTGTGTTAACTTGCTCCCTCACCTTTCCTTGTTCCAAGCAATACTCAAAACAGATTTACATAATTTCACATATCCATATAGCTAAAACGCTAAACATGAAAAACTTGCAGTAAATAAAGTAACACTAATGAAGCCACTAATCTCATCCTCCAATCCAAGTAAACAAAGTTCTTTGCCCCGGGAGGCTATAGTGACACAGCTAACTTCACTAAGCTGCACCTTTCCTCTCCAGCAAATTTGCATGTTGCAATTCAGTTGGTTCAGTTGTGCCTGTGGTATGAGGGAGGCCTGTGTATAACTCAAGTCTCATCAGAGTCCTGTTTGAAGAGCTGGGGAACGTGAACTGCTTCCAAAGAACATGAAAACAGCAGTGGGTTGCAGACACTCTTCTTTACTCAGCTGTGTCTACTTTAGCCCCATTTATTTCCCTCACAACCCCTCACATCAGAGTCACAGGATAACTTAGGATGGAAGGCTCCTCTGAAGGTCACCTCATTCATCCCCCTACTCAAAGCAGGGCCAATTAGATCAGGTTTCTCAGGGCAACTTCCTTTCAGCTCCGTGTTTCTTTCCATTCTCTCCACTCATACAGCCACATCCCCCCTTCTTTACGCTTTTAGTTCCCCACAGTGTTACTTTTCACTACTGGGGAGCCAAAGGAGTACGTGAGAATGAGCAGAGCAGTCTATGGACAGGAGAAGAATGAGGATGTGGTAGAGCAGATAAGGTTTAGCAGGAGGTGGTGGAGGAGAAGGAAGGGTGGGAGGAGGTGTTGGGGAGACCAAGGTTATGCAAAGGATTGGGGAAGCGGCTTTGTGGTAGGAAGGAATGCAGTTTCTGTGCTTTAAAGGCTCCCTCTGAGCTTTTGTTTCAGCTCCCCAGCAGCAGAGCAGCAGTGCTCTTCTGCGAGAAGCCCTTTGACCACTGATGCCTTTTTGCAGAATGCTTGGATGCCTCTGCTTTATGCAAAGTCAAGAATGTTTGGGTACTGAGCTGGGCATTTGCCTATACAAATCAGTCTGGGTTTCTTTTAGGTTTAACCAACTAATTTCCTGAGTTTTAAGTGC